GAAGGAAGGAAGGAAGGAAGGAAGGAAGGAAGGAAGGAAGGAAGGAAGGAAGGAAAAAAACCTGGCCCTTCAATTGTGTAAATTCCATATCATTCAATAGAATTATTAGTGTGTCTGCTGTCTTATGCACAGGGGGAAAAATATCTGTGTCAGAGCTGAGTCGTCCTTGGCTACTCACCGTTGAGGAGAACGGCCGGTAGTACAATGCCATTTGCAGAATCTAAGCAGCCCAGCTCTGCCTCCCGCTACTTTTTACTCAGATGAAAGACTGGGTAGAAACTTTCCCTACCCTTCTTCCAGTTTCCTCTCCTGCCTTTGCAAGAACGGATTGTACAGCTTCTGTCTTGGTTGCCAGGGGCCTGTCATTTCCAAATGACAACACCCAAGGAACTGCACCAGCTCCAGAAGAACAAAGCAAACAGGTGTGCCTGCATTTCCTCCAACAGAAATGCCTGAGGGCACTTCGACGTGGACTCATTCGAGGTAGGAGGATGACTTAGAACAAGGAAGATCTCCCAGTGCTTAAAACTTAAGGGGGGAATCTACTACCTGATAGGCAGTGAGGCGGAAGGGAGAAAGGATCTAACGCGGTGGTGGGATTCAAAACTTTTTACTACCGGTTCTGTGGGTGTGGCTTGGTGGGTGTGGCCCTGTGACTGGGTGGGCATGGCTTTTCTTTTTTTGCTTTTTTTGCAGCCACGCCCCCACATGTTTTGGGGCCTTCTGGGCCTCAGGGGAGCCTCCTGGGGGGTGGTTTTGCTCCCAGGAAGCTCCCCTGGGGCTCAGGAAGGCAAAAAATGGAGAGGGGGGGCTCTGCCTCCCCCCTCTTGGGCAGAGCAATAAGACAAACTAGGGGTATCCCAGCGTAGCTGATTGTATGAACAGTTGATTGTTGGGAGGGAAAAAAAAAAAGAAATACCTTAAGGGGGGAGAATCAGGCGGGCAGGGTGAACGAACATCAGGTGGCCGGACAGGACAAGCAAGCTAGAGGTGACCGGGTCAGGGGCGTGGCCAGCCAGAATGTACTACCGGTTTGGTGACCCACACGAAATCCTTGCTACCGGTTCGCTCAAACCGGTGAAAACCGGCTGAATACCACCACTGACCTAATGGGGAGCAGAATGATCTGGAAGCTTGGATCTGCTTTTAAAGATCTGCCTCTTCCTCGCTGTGGATTCTGGTAACGGCCGTTGCCATATAAAAGCCTGGGCTTCTCTTAGCAACTGGGTTGTAAGCTAAAGCCCACAGAGAGTAATGAGTAAGCAACAATGGTGGCTTACCAGGTGGTGACAAGAGTATAGAAGACCTATCAGAGATGGGAAACACTTTTTCCCTCGACCACAGACAGGATTGGGAGCCCAGAGAGGAGATCCCCTTAGGCGAGTGTTTCTCAACTTTGACCACTTTAAGATATGTGGACTTCAACTCCCAGAAATGACTGGCTGGGGAATTCTGGGAGTTGAACTCCAGATATCTTAAACTTGCTAAGGTGGAGAAATACTGCCCTAGACGACCTTCAATGTGTGATGACCCGGGGCATGTCACAAAGGCAACACAATCAGATAATTAATAAGAGTCCCTTTATTAGCTCCAACTTTGCCCCCAATGTCCAGGTTACCTTCTGGCTGGAGAAAAACTCTCCCAGGAAAATCCTTTGACTGCAGAGAATTAAGTCCCAAACATGGTCAATACAAATTGTAACTATAAATCCAATCAAGCCAAACTGAGGCAGGGCAGGGGCAAGAATTCCAGACATGAAGGCACGGCAAAACTCACACGGTTGGGAAGACGCCAGGAACACAGATAAGCAAAGACAACACCAGATAAAGTCACGTTTGCTTCCAGCATTCAGTTCTTTTAAGCTTTCATTCCCCGCTGTAGCTAATGAAGGGAATCAGGGCCCTTTCCTCCCCCATAAGCCTTGGAAAGGGACCCTAATCTTCTCTCTAGTGAGTCTCCTTACTGCTTTAAAACTTGCTCAACATTAAAACATTAGCTTCCCCCTGCAGTATTATAGTTTCCATTTGGTATCTTTGCTTTCCCTAAATGATTGTGGTTCAGAAGTCTGACTATAAATACACACACAAAAGGATATGTCCTATTGGTGGCCAGAGCAATAGACAGCGGGAGGTTCAGAGGTGGTATTCAGCAGGTTCTGACCAGTTCTGGAGAACCGGCAGCAGAAATTTTGAGTAGTTCGGGGAACCGGCCAATCCCACCTCTAACTGGCCCCGCCAACCCCATCTATTCTCTATCTCCTGAGTCCCAGCTGATTGGCTGGGTCTTCTTTGGTTGCCCTGCCCAGGAGAACGGAGCTGGAAAGCAGGTTAGTGAGGTGGGGAGGGAATGGGGATTTTGCAGGATTCTTCCCCTGCCACGCCCACAAAACTGGTAGTAATTTTTTTTGAATCCCACCACTATGAAAAACCTATGGGAATCTACCAGCTTCTATGGATTTCTCAAGCTACCAAACATCTTCAAATGTCCCGTTGCTCGATTTGAAACTAACAGAGTGACCATCACCACGATGGGAGTCACAAAGAAGAAATTATAGCAAGCCATTGGCTGCAGCAATTCCCTTGAGGGAATGCGACCTGATTGAAAAGTACTGGAGAAGACAGCCAGGAGATACAGCCTTGGAGGAAACCTGTGGGATGGATCCCAGGTTGGGGTTTTTTTTTTTAATTTAAGACACAAAGCTAGATGTTATGGGTTATACTCACGTCTGTCAGGTCAAAGTAGGAAGATACACGATCAGGTTCAATGTAGGAATCCTTAAAAATAGAAAATAAATTTCCTGTCATTCCCTTCCAAGGACCATGTTCCTTCCAAAGCTTGGGCCATCTCACTGTCCGAGAGACGGAAGGAAGGAGAAGCACATAATGTATGGATATTAATAATATCAATATTGTGACAACAACAACACTAATGATAATAATATAACAATAAACAGTGAGGGAGGGAGGAGAGAGAGAGAGAGAGAGAGAAGAATGAATGAAGCAAGATGGAGAGAGGAAGGGAGGAAGAAATAAAGAAGGAAGGAAATGAGAGGGAGGAAGGAGAGAGAAGAATGAATGAAGAGATGGAGAGAGGAAGGGAGGAAGAAATAAAGGAAGGAAGGAAAGGAGGGAGGGAGGAAGAAAGGAGAGAGTGAGAAGAATGAATGAAGCAAAATGGAGAGAGGAAGGGAGAAAGAAATAAAGAAGGAGGGAAATGAGAGGGAGGGAGGAAGAAGAGAGAGAGAAGAATGAATGAAAAGATGGAGAGAGGAAGGGAGAAAGAAATAAAGAAGGAAGGAAATGAGAGGGAGGAAGGGAGGGAGGAGAGAGAGAGAGGAATGAATGACGCAAGATGAAGAGAGGAAGGAAGAAATAAAAAAGGAAGGAAGGAAAGGAGGGAGGAAGAAAGGAAAGGAAGGAAGGAACATAATTTATTTACGGCGAAATATTATATGGGTGGACAAAGCTGAGCCAATAGCTAACTACATCCTACTAAGAGAGAATCCAAGATGCTGGATATCTCTGTCCAAAAGAGAGATGAGAGCCAGGCTGTTTTTATTGATGGGGAGTACACGCATCTATATTAGCCACAAAAGCCAGGCACACAGGTGCAAAACCCAGATCATGTCCTAACCATTTGAGATGGGATTCACACAAAATGATGGTTAGCGGCTTAAAAAGATTACGCCCCGTCAATTCCCAGGCAAAGCAAACAAACTGACCTGCCCCGTGTCTGAAGGAATCAGGAGATCAAACCAAACTCCATTTGATGAGACTGCCAAAAATCAAACAGAACCAGCTCCTTGATGGTTATTGCCAAGGATTAAAAATAAGCAGTATTTTCACGCCAGCGTGCGGTTTATCTTCAACTCTGCATGCGATCAGGTGGTTTTCAAAATTCTCGTTTTCCTTTTCCTTTCGGGCAAATCCTTTCATATGAGATGGGGGTGGGGGTGGGGGAAGAGATCTTTTTTCCAAGCTCTGCTCTGCTCCCATCATCCTATCTTGGTCTGTGCTGGTATATCGGCTGGCTGGCTGGTTGGCTCGGTTTGCAAATTGCTTTGGGGGCACTTTTGCTGTCAGCAGGATGGGTTTTCAACCTGTGGAGCTTATTTATCTCCCAGTGGCTTAAAAAGAACATTCGGGAGTTTAAAAAACTGTTTTACATGGTCTGACTTGCTCCCAGTCTTGATAAGGAAACCACGCGGGGGCGGGGGGGGGGGCAATAAAACATGGAAATACAAATAATGGAACTTGTAAGCCTGTCCTTTGAACCTCCCTCAACCCAGAGGTGGGATTCAGCCGGTTCTGACTGGTTCACAAGAACTGGTAGTGAAAATTTTGAGCAGACATAATAACATTCTTCTGCTAAGTCAAGGTCATGTGGTTTCTGCACCTGGGTGAGGTGACGTCTCAAGTTGGTTCTGGAGAACCGGTAGTGGACATTTTTGAGCAGTTCGGAGAACCGGAAAATACCACCTCTGACTGGCCCTGCCAACCCCATCTCTTCTCTGCCTCCTATTGAGTCCCAGTTGACCGGCTGGGTCTTCTTATGTTGCCCTGCACAGGAGAACGAAGCTGGAAAGCAGGTTAGTGGGGTGGGGAGGGAAGGGGATTTTGCAGTATCCTTCCCCCGCCATGCCCACCAAGCCATGCCACACCCACCGAGCCACGACCACAGAACCGGTGGTAAAAAAAAATGTTAAATTCCACCACTCAATTCAATTCAACCTTCCTGTTATAGACAGGTAGCAGTGGTGGGATTCAAATTTTTTTTACTACCGGTCTGTGGGCATGGCAGGGGAAGGATACTGCAAAATCCCCATTATCCTGTTAAGGAAGTTTTTAAAGTTCAGCCAAATTCTCCCTTCGTCGCCTAAGCCTTACTCTCCTTGCCATCTAGGACAGCAGAGAAGAACGATGGGATTCCTTCTGCCAGAGGAAATGGCTCCTCACAAGTTGGCCATGATTAGTGTCTTCTCAAACGCTTACAACCTAAGAATGGCAGGTGGTAATTTGGATCTTGAAGCGGAGGAGCACAATAAGCAATGCTGAAGCACATCCTGGTACATTCATCAATCTTTCAAGCCATTGGCCTTCAGTGGTCGGCCTTGCCTGTGTAAATCTTATGCTTTCGTGGCTTTTAATTACAAGCACCATATCAAGCTTCTCCTTGGAGACAGGACCATAATTGCTTGGGAATGAGAGTTGATCATTAGAATTGACTCGGTGGCCTTTCTTGAGTCATTAGGCCAGGACAAATCAAGGGATTGGAACTGGGCTGTGCATCGCATGGGAATATTTAGGAAATGGGAATATTTAGGAATTAACCTCGTGCATAACGACACAATGCCTTTACAAGGGCCAGCAATCATCCATTAAAATATTTGGCATTTCAGGGGCTTCTTATTTCTGAAAAATATTGCCTGCAGGATCTTAACAGAATAACAGAGTTGGAAGGGACCTTGGAGGTCTTCTAGTCCAACCCCTGCTCAAGTAGGAGACATTATACTGGTTCAGAGAAATGGTTGTCCAATCTCTTCTTAAAAACCTCCAGTGTTGGAGCATCCACATTCCACTGGTTAATTGTTTTATCAGGAAATTTCTCCTTAGTTCTAGGTTGGATCTCTCCTTGATTAGTTTCCATCCATTGTTTCTTGTCCAGCCTTTGGGTGCTTTGGAAAATAGGTGCCTCTTCTTTGTGGCAGCCCCTCAAATATTGGAATGCTATATAAGCATTTTATTTTATTTTATTTGTTTGATTTGTTAATTGCTTACAAGATAATAGGTATAAATATAAACATAGTTATGAATACATGGGTACATATAAAAAAAAAAAGAAACAATAGGACAGGGATGGTAGGCATGTTGGTGCGCTTATACACGCCCCCTACAGACCTCTTAGGAAAGGGGTGAGGTCAATAGTAGACAGTCTAAGGTTAAAGTTTTTGGGGTTTGAGGAAGAAACCACAGAGTCAGGTAGAGTATTCCAGACATTGACCACTCTGTGGCTGAAGTCGTATTTCCTGCAATCAAGTTTGGTGCGATTAACCTTGAGTTTGTATCTATTGTTTGCTCTAGACAGGTAGGACATTGCAATGTATGATTTTATATACTATACTTAGATCGGACCGAAGGCCGTGTGATTCTAGGTTTTCATCTTCTATAAAATTTAAGTGATATATTTTTTATCGTATAAGATAGAAGATCTGGAGAAGAATTTAAGGGTTCAAAATTGAGGTTCCTATTAAGAACTTAGCAGCTTTCCCTTCCTTTCCAACACTCAGAGTTTGTGTAGCCAAAATTGCACAATTTGTGACCCAACAAGGAGGTCTCATAACACGAAGGAATCAAATATTTGTAAAATTGCAACATATTTGGGAGAAGGATTTAAATGGGGGGGGAGTAAACTCAAAACTACTTTATGAAGTCAGAATATGATCAAGTAGTCCAGGAATGTTGACCAAGCGTTTGCAGAAAAAGGCTACTAGAAGACTGCAAGCAGCTGCCTCACAACACATTACGGTGACATCTGCTATGGTCCACCTTACTCACAGGATGAGGTCGAATGGCATTTGTGGGAATTTTACCCACAGAGGAATGTTGTGAAATCTCCTTAATTCCAACGAATGACTCAAGCATATAAAATCAAAGACAAATTTCATGGGTTGGGTAGGTTCCAAACTTGGTCATCGGTGAGAGAAACGCAACGTTGAGGACTTGAGACTCAACAGCTGCTGGGTCCTGGAAGGGTCCATTTAGGAACACTAAATCAATTCCCCTTCCCTTGTCTGGACATGCCTTCTTCGTGAATTACCCATCTCATCTGCTTCTCTCCATACACTCAGGTAAATGTCAACTGCAATTAATCCTTCTTTATCTGATTAAACTGGAGGTGAACTCACCAGCTATTTACAAGCAGTCTTCTAGATGAACAAAGAGGAAGGGTATATATATACATATACATACATGCTTGGGAATGTCGCCATATATTTTCCCATTGCTATTCAATTTGAGAGTTAATTGGATTGTAACGAAAAGCATTTAATCTCCCCGGGAGCTGGTTTAATAGAGATGCACCAGCCCTCTCCGTGACTTGCTACCCCATTCAAAAGGGGTGATTTTTAAGCAGGCCAAAGAGATGGGCATCGTCATCAGGGTGTAGTCCCAGCTGCCAAACGCTGATAGGATATCGAGCAAGACGATAAAAGCTGACAGATTACACACGTAACTCTCTGAACAGACAAGCATTTCACCAGTTCGGGTCAGCCTGTTTCCCAGAGATAAGGCGCACGCTAGAATATTGAAATCATGCCATTCCGCCGCCAGGATTTCGGAGCGTTGTGTTTTGCAAGTGGGGGCAAGTCTTCAAGTGATCCAGGGGCTTTCCACCCACCATCTTTAATTGAGGCATCAATTTATTTTTATTTTTTTAATGCTGCTGTTTAATTAATGACCAGGTTTAAATCGTCCGGCTTTCGACACAGGGAAGGAGGTGACCGCACGGCGCTTCTGGGAAACCGTTGGCAAGAAAATTGTAGAGGCTTGTTTGCCAAGAGTGAAAAGTTAACTTGAAAGGCACCCGGATAAGTTTGTAACAAAAGGTAGTCCTTGGCTTAGAAGCCACAACTGACCCCAACATTTCTGTTGCTGATTGGGACATGGGTTAAGTGAGTTTTGTCCAGGGGTGGGCTTCAAAAAATTTAGCAAAGTGGTTCTCTGCCTGGTTGCTGGGTGGACGTTGCCATGGTGGGCGTGGCCTAGTTGGCCTCCTGCACCATGGCAGGGGGGCATTCGAGCCTCCGGAAGGGAGAAAACGGCCTCCGCAGGCTCCAGAGCAGAGGTGATATTCAGCCAGTTCTGACCAGTTCTGGAGAACCGGTAGCGGAAAATTTGAGTAGTTTGGAGAACCAGACAATCCCGCCTCTGACTGGCCCTGTCCTCTTCTATTCTCTGCCTCCCGTTGAGTCCCAGCTGATCGGGAGGGGAGAAGAATAATTGGGCCTCGTGAGGGGAATGGCGCTGAAGGTTGGAGCTGTGTGAACTGCGACAGTTGGGATGCGTTGCTGCTTACTGCGCAAATGCAGCCGCTTACCTTTTCTAGGCCAAGGTCAACCGTCTTGGAACACCAGATGTGTGAGACGCCACCTGAAGATGTACCCACGTCACATTATACACATCTCAGATTGGATGTCCGGTTTGAATTATTCGAGGTGGGTGGGGACTTGGGATAACTTGCTATCTATAATTTCCACACCTTTTATCTCAGATCTTGCCTTTCCTTTGTTGCTACCACTTCTTATTCACTAAAAGTATATTCCTCTATAAAAACTGGAGCCTAAAGTTTTCAAGTTGCTCAAGGGTTGAGCCATTCAACACAGATGTCCTGATGGTGGGTTTGGTTAATGAAGAAAGGAAGGAATTAAAACAACCGAGCCATCTTTCTATCTGTCTGTCTGTCTGTCACTATTCAGCCCTGCCTGCCTGCCTCTTTCGCTTTGGCCATCCTATTCTGCTTGGCTTAGGATTCTAATTAGCGCCAACAATTGAGGTTTCGTTAATGAGTTCGCTATAACAAGAACTAATGAGCGTCTTTCACTGGGGCCGTTAATTAGCACTTCAAAAGCTCTGTTTGGCTTGTGGAATTAGCTGTACATCATCCAGCAATCAAGTGTTTTGTGACAAACCCAACAAGGTTTTTCTGAAGCAAGCCTGAATGGGCGGGGTGCTTGTAAATTGCTGTGGCACACAATCTCTTCAGTGTGTGTGCATGCACGTGCATGTATGTGTGTGTGTAGAAAGCAGAATCCAGGCTCTTTATTTTTTTTCTCTCCTTTTGTAGGAAAAAAACACACCCAAAGGATCCACGGAGAGGTAAAATTCTACCCTCCAAATCCTGCATTTTGTATCTGAATACTAAGCCAGTTTTGAGGGGAATTAAAATACGATCTGCAAAGCAAAAACAATAGCTGCCTCTCATTTAGACCTAACTCTTCTTGGTGGAGGTATTTCTTTCTTTAAAAGGCTTGCCGCTCCTCTTCCTCCTTTGGAGTGAAATAAGGGCGCACAAGATCGGCCATTTTTAGAACTTCTCCCCACTCGAAGCTGTGCAAGAAATTGGGCACCAGTTTCTAGGAGCATGAATTCGGCGAGCGTTCTGGGTTGGCCCTGATATAGAGGTTGCTACAAAATGCAAGGACTTGCCTCTTTCCCGTTCCTTTCTTTCTTTGAAACAGGCTACATGGGGTAATCAATGAAAGGTTGGGAGATGGATGGGTCTCCAACATCAGCAGAAGTCAAAAGAAAAGCTACCTACAAGAGGTAAAGACTATCGCTTGGTCCTTCCAACCCTCACAGTCCAGATGTTTGAGAACTGCAGCTCAAAGGAGGGAGGAACATATCTACCAGCTGGCTGAGACATCTGGGAGTGCAGTGCCCACATAGTTAAAGGACGGCTGGTTGGATGCAAGCAATGTTAGCAGAACTTCTAAGCGACGGTTGTCGAACCTACTTTTAAGATTTGTGGTCTTCCAACACCCAGAATTCCCCAGCCAGAATTCTGGCAGTGGAAGTCCACCAATCTTATAGTTGGCAAAATTAGACGTCCCTGCTCTAAGAGATGAGAAGGATGGCTGTTAATATAAGTATTGTCCACTAGATGGTGGTAGGAAGATTGCAAAAACAAACAAACAAACCTGAGCCCATCGGCACAAAAAAAATAAAATAAAAATGGAAATAATTGGAAAGGCTGCCCAGATTTCTCAAGGCGTCCACCTGTAATTCGCAACTTCAGCCCAGTTGGAAGAGGATTGGCTGCCCACAGTGTGCCAGGAGCACAGAAGGCCTGCCGGATGGTGCCACACTACTTGAGAATTCAACATGCTGCGATGATTCTTCTTGTACCTGAAGCAGATCCATGTTCTTGCCTGCCAGGGTTTGTCCTTTTAGGCACAAGCAATCAGAATTAGATGTAATGTGAATTTAGCGGCTCCTCTCCTCTCTCCTTTCCTTTCCTTTCCTTTCCTTTCCTTTCCTTTCCTTTCTCCTTTCCTCTCCTCTTCCTCTTCCTTTCCTTTTCTCTCCTCTCTCCTTCTTCCTTTTCCTTTTCCACTTCCTTTCCTCTTCCTTTCCTTTTCTCTTCCTCTCCTTTCATTTCCTCTCCTCTCTCC